GTGCAGGCCCATCAAGGGGGCCTGTGAGGTCACCCTGGCTGCCACGTTGAGTGGTCTGCGGGGCAAGGACAAAGGCAGGGGATTCATTCAAAGGGTATCGCAACCATCAAGCCAGAGATGATGAGGCTTGGCCCAGGGGGTAGCGGTGGGAGTTGGGTCCAATTCTGGATTTGTCTGGAAGGTAGAGAACAGGAGATGCTGACTGAATGGGTGCAGAGTGAGAGGCATCATCGATGAAGTCAAGGCTTTGAACAACTGGCAGGATGCAGTTGCTATTACCTGTGATGGGGGAAGGCAGGTCTGGGGAGAGGGGACAGAATATGAGGAGCTCAGTTTTGTCGGGCTAATCGCGGGAGGCCTGCCGATAGAGACGTCAAGTGGGCCGCTGGGTAAGTATATCTGGAGCTCCTGAGGAAGGTCCGGGTGAGAGGTGCAAAGTGCGGGGCATCTCCACACAAATGTGGCGTCAAAGCCCTGAAACGGGTGAGAGCCCCAGGGGGCCAGGGCAGAAGGAAAGGAGGTGAGGCTGGGCCCCGAGGGTCTCTGACATTGCGCAGTCAGGTAGGTAAGAGGGAAGCAGCAGAGGACACTGAGAAAGGGCACGGAGTGGTAGGGTGCAGGTCTGGAGAGAGGCATCCTGGGGGCGAGGGGAGCAAGTGTGTCAAGGGGAAGGTTGAGGGAGCAGATGCCGTGACGGGCTGAGAAGAGGTGAGGACCACCCTCTGGGCTTAGTTACCCCGAGGTCATGGGTGGCCACAGAGAGGTCAGCAGTGACCATTCGGAGAGCCTGTCTGGGTAGGGAAGGTAAGAGCTGATAGAAGTGGTCCAGCAGAGAGCAGGAGGACACACCCTTCATCAGAGAGGGGTTTTTCTTCACATTCAGTATTTTTATTAAATTTTTAGCAATGTGCATATCTCCCCACCTTTTCTTTTAAGTTACTGTGGCAGTTTTCTGTAGCAAACTATTATAAGAGAAGTTTTGGTGGAAAATGGGATGAAATAGCAAAACCCAAAACCAAAACAAGCAAACAGGCAAAAGACCAATCAACAAACAAAATCCAACTGCTGCTGCTTTCTAAAAAGAGACCGACATTTTCACCAATTATATTCGCACAAACCACACTAACAACATTTGCTTGGCCAAGAGAGGGCTTTCCTTACCTTTTTTTTACAATGGAAGGAGCAACACCACGCTTGCGTAATGATTAACATCGGAAGTGGGCAGGGGCAGCTCGGTCCCACTCGAAGCCGGCTTTCTAGCTGCGTTTTCTGTGGGAGCACAGCCACGCTTGTGTTGGGAGCTGACTATAGCTGCTTTCCGCCCACGTCGTAGAGGTGAGCGGTTGTGACAGGGATCATATGGCTCAGGGGGCCTGAAAGATTTACTAGCTGGCCCTCTCCAGAAACTGTCTGCTGACAACTGTATAAGAGATCAGTCCAAAGGAGGAAATGGGTGATGCAGGTGGAGGAGACTTGCTGCCGAGGTGCCCTGGAGCAGGCAGGAGGGGCAGACCCTGGAGCAGGTAGAGAGTTGACCTTCTCTGGGAACACAGGTGGGCATGCAAGAGGAGAGAAGGGAGTGTGCGGGCACAGGCGCAGACAGGCCGGCGCGTGTGGTGGCCGGAGCCTCTGGAAGGCCTCTTCTTCCTGCTCCTGTTTTCTCAAGGTCATCAGGTGACCATGACCGTGTGTCGGGATTGGGGAGAGCAGGTGTGAGAACTACTAGCACAGGAAGATGAAGGAACTAGGGAATCACAACACACTTGCTGCGCTTTCATCTGAGATAATGATCACATATTAAAGTGAAGCCAGCCCTGTCTGGTGTGGCTCCATGGGTTGGGTGCCAGCCTACAAACGGAAAGGTTGCTGGTTCCATTCCTGGTCAGGGCACGTGCCTGGGTTGCGGGTTAGGTCCCCAGTTGAAGAGGCAACCAAGCAGTTTTTCTGTCACACTGATGTTTCTCTCACACTGATGTTTCCCTCTCTCTTTCTCCCTCTCTTCCCCTCTTCCTAAAAGTAAATAAATGAAACCTTTAAAAATAAAAGGAAAAAGAAGTGAAGCCAGTCAGCAAGGCTGTGTGCTCTCTCCAGCTTCATTTCGCTGTGTGGGTGCCGGCGTGGACCAGTGGAAACGTTCAAGCTGCTGGCCTTGTGGCTTAGCCAGGAGAATGTGCGCAAGGGAGAGGGTGGCGGCCCAGGTTGTGGCCTGATCATAGTCACTGACCACAGAATCTGGGCTGGGCGAGGAGGGGCATGCACCTGGTGGGCAGGGGACGGTGGAAAGGTGGAAGCACCTGCAGACAGCAAGTGCCGCAGGCCGGAAGGAGCCCTGGGGCTGAGCTGTTGGGAGGAGTGAGCTGCAGAACAGTTGGTGGGTGGGGTTGAAGCCCAGGCTCTGGAAGGGGTACAGTGATGCTGGGGTTTAGAACTTTTTAGAAATAAACACTGGGCACACCAAGAAAGCGCACCCACCCCCTGAATCGAGCCAGTTTCCTGTCTCTGCCAGGAGTCTCCTTCCCCTCTTGACAGGTGCCCCGGCTCCCAGGTCCGCCTTTCTGTCTCCAGCCTCTGCCCTGAGCTCCAGGACCACACTTGGCCCTGCCCATCCCGGGCTCCTCCACAAGGACAACCCTAAAACTCAGTTTGTCCCGAGCCAAACTTGTCATCTTCCCATAAGCCTACTCTTGCCCCTGTCCTGTCCCCATGGGGCCATCTTGGCTGCCCACAGCAGAGCCTGAACTGTACCCTCTCCCCCTACTGCGTCCGTCCTGTGCCCTGAACGTACTTCCTCCCACATGTCCTTCCCCTTATCTCCTCTCCATCTCTGCCATGCTGTCACTCGGACCACCAGCGTCTCACCAGCTGGCTTGCTGACCGACAGACTCCAACCTTTGGTCCCGGGCTGCCTCTCCAGGGCCCAACCTGAGCTCGGCGTCCTGCAGTTGTCAAGTAAGGGACAGCGTCCTGGCTGACAGCCGTCCTGGCTGCAACCTGCAGCCAGAACGCTGCAGACTCAGCTGGCCTCGGCTTGTCAGTCACTGAATGGCTTTGTCACTTCACAGACTTCTGTCCCACACCTGTTGTGTGCCAGGAACAGCCACAAACAAGTCCCTTGTGGGCCCAAGGTTATCGGTGGGGAAGGGAAGTGAACAGGTACAGTCCTTGGTGGAAAGTGGCATTGGTGAGCTGGGCATGGCGGGCTTTTCACCAGACTTTGTCCTGGGAGGTCACTTGTGTGCCCTGTGGCCATTCTGTGTGCACTGCTGGCCGAACCTCAATGTCCACCCACAATATTTGTGTGCCAGTCTTCCTTTCCGAGTGAGGGGCCCCCCTTTGGGACATTGCTCCCTCCCTCCCCTTCCTGTCTGCTTTGACCCTCCGCCCCCTTCTGCCCTCAGAATCCTCACCCTGTCCATCACTGGACTCTCTCTCCCAGGGACACTTGTGCACTTCTTTCTCCAGCAGGGTGGAGTGGACTTTGCGTCAAAAAGCCTGAGTTCTTGTCCCAGATCCACCAAATTAAACTTACCTCGGAGTTAGGCTGTGAAAAATTGGTGTGAGTCCTGTGTTAAAGCACCCAGCTCAGAGCCAGTACAGATCAGGGCGTAGCAGACGTGTCTGCTGAGCACCATCACGAAGCTTCCCTGTCGTCCTCACCACCGCCAGACCAGAGGTGACACCACACCCCACCACATCTCCCACGCCACTTTTTTCACCTCTCTCACTGCCCGCCCTGAGTGGCAGAACTACACGGTAGTTAAATGCTGGAGAAATGCTGAATGGGGCAGCTGGCATCCTCACCGGTCCCCATGTCAGAGACCACTGGACATTGTCAACCGGGGCCAGCTATAGTACAGGCCCCACGCGGCCAGATCTTCCAGTTTTTCAAGAGGTTAGAAATGCAGGTGGGCATGTAAAGTCATCCCCTTCAAGATGTTGGCCACAAATTCAATGAAAAAAGATAACTGTGGGAACCAATTAAAGTACATCCAAGGGCCAGCTTGGCTCTGGCGGCTACCAGCTCCTGACGGCTGCAGTAGTTTCAGAGAGTGTGGGTTTAAATCCCGGCCTCCCTCTACCCCTGACCTCGGCCAGGCCACAGTCTCCTGTCTGTGCCTCAGGTTCCCCACCTGTAACATGAGTGCAACTATAGCCAACATGTACTGAGCGCCTTTTCTACGTGTCGGCCTTTTCTGTCCTCTCGGTGACCCAGTGAGGTAGGGACTGTTAGCAGCTCAAGGTCTGAGAACTGTGTTTGAACCCAGGCCTGGGAACTCTGGCCCCAGTGGCGTGCCTGTAACCTCCGTACGAGTGGCCCAGCCCCAGGGCTTCTGAGGCCTGGGGCAGCAGGAGCACCACACTGCCCACTGGAGTGAGCGCGGCAGGCGCTGGTGCTTCCAGGCCTGTGCTTGTCCATTTACCACCATGGAAATGGCACCTCCTTGAGGGCAGGAGGTGTCCCAGTCTACTTATCACCACCTTTTTGGGGCCTTCTGCCCTGGCTCAATGATTTGCAAGCTGCTGAGGAAGAGGTTTGATGAAGAGGCAGAGGACCTGCCCTACTCCGTCCCCCACCCCCTCTCAGACTGGCTCCCTGAGGGACTCTGGAAGAACAGAAGCCACTGTCCCTGCCCCGGGATTCAACAGGAGCCCAGGCCTAGTCAGGAAACAAAGAGCAGAGAGCGGAGAAGTCAGGCCTTTGTGCCCATGAGCGCTGGATGCAGGAAGGCCACCACTGGTTTAAAGGGTCCTGTGATTGGGGGTGATTGCTTTAAGAGTGCTCTGAAGACATCAGACACTGGGATTACCTAGATGGGACCTCTCTGTCTGCTTTTTATTACCCAGACATCCGGTGGCCAGTCTTTGATGCAGGAACAGTGCGCCTGCCAACCCTTAAACGGCCCCTCTGCCCCATGCCCTGCCCCCACCAGCCCACAGATGATTCCAGGGCTCGGCCCTCAGGCCTCCCAGTGACTCCTCTCCTCTGTCTCCTTGTGCAGAAATGGAAGCTCCATTCTCGGAGGCGCCGGGAGGCCCCGAAGACATCTCCAGGGTGTCATTGCCCACCAGGTAAGGAGCCCTGCGAACGGGTGACTAGGATGGGGACAGCCACCAGAGGCCCTCTGTGGTTGTGCTCTGGCCGCACCCTGCTCAGGGCATCACCTTTTATTTGAAAGATGGGGATGACAATATCCATGATATTACCTTTTATCTACTCATTGATTGGCCTACCTGTCCCCTATCCATCATTCATTCATTCATACGTATGTTCATTCATTCATTCATTCATAAACTTTTCTATGGGCCTTTACTATGTGCACCAGGTTGTGAAATGAGACAAGATAATGGGTGTGGCTAGGTTTTGCAAATTCTGTTGTATTATGCAGCATTGAAGAGAATCCCGAGAGGGCAGGGACCAGGTTCATCACTGTCACTCTTGTGCCTCCAGCTTCTGACATATTGTAAGTGTGCAAAGGTGTTTGTTACCAAAATGAATGAACTGCAAAACTTCCTTGCCCTTGCTAGGTGGCTTAGGGTACTTTGTGCTGTATGGTATCTAGACTACCTGCACAAATGCCCCTTGCACGCAAGTTCAAGGTTGAAAGGTGATGTGGCGTAACCAAGTTAGCCAGTCCAATCAGATTCTGTCTCTGCCATTGACTAGCCCTGTGTGGGTGGGTCCCCTCGGAGGGCACCTTCCTAGTGCTCTTTCCTCTGCACCGTGCGAGGCTGCCCCTCACTGGGTCCGCTCCTCTCATCGCTGCTGTGTACCGAGTGCCCGCTCCATGCTGGGCACCATGCTGCGTGTTGGGTTCAATCTCATTGTCCACAGTTAATAATAACGACAAGTTAGTGGACTTTTCTAGACTGCTGACTATTATTATTAAGCCATAAGAATAACAGATGAGCAAGTTTTATTGTCCCCATGGTAGCTGGAATGGGCTGTACTTTTGGGAGATGAAGAAAGAAGCCCCCAGAAAGGGTTGGGGGAGAAAATAATCAAGTAATCACAGAGGATTCTGCCCTGCTATGGACCTCTGCCAGCTCAGAGTGCGACCCCTCGGTACCTGCTGTGGGCAGGTGGCATGGGCAGGACACTAAGTGGGCTCTCTGGCAGGCCCTCCATGGACACGGGAGCTGAGGGTCCCTGGTAGCCCTTGCCCATGGTCCCCAAGCTGGGGACAAGAGGCCAACAGATGTTGAGCATATGGGAAGTGGAGAGACCACATCTGCTGGAGCATGAGTGGACCGAGGTGGGAGTCACACTTCAGGGGGCCTGCCACGGGAGATGGTGACATCCAGATGGGATTCAGCTGGCCCCCGTCAGAAGAAGGTCATCCGGGTTAATTAAAAAGGTGTCCAGGAGCCCTGGGAAGCTCCCTCCCTCCCTCGGGGCCCAGGAGATTGAGCCCTGGGATGGGGCACAGCTTTGGGGAGAAGAGTGCCGAGGTTAATGAGATGAAATGGAGGCCAGGGTGGGTGGGGGGCCTGGGCAGGGTGACGGCAGGGAGCGCCGGGGTCTCTGGGCAGCCCGCATTTCGGATCACCGTGTCTGTCGTCTCCGTGGTCTCTGGTCGATGGCCCTGGAGTTGTGCTGCAAGTGTGCAGTGCTGGTGGAGAGCAGGAGATCGGGAGCCATGGAAGATGGGGGTTGGAGTTGCAGCCATGGCATTTACCAGCTGTGTGACCTTCAGAGAATCATCTAACCTCTCTCTGCCTAGGCTGCCTCCTGTGAAACAAGGGGATGTCACCTGTCCTACGGGTATATGGTGACAATTCAGGGGGGTAATTTTGGGAAGATCTTAGCATCGTTCCTGATTCCTAGTAAGCACAATTATTTTTTTCCCCTTGATTCCTCTTGCACTTTAAAGATGCTCAGAAATCCTTACCAAACCCCATGTGCTAATGCTAAGGACAACATGGGCTGCACCTTGGTGGCAAAGCAGACACTTACTTTTCTCTCTTCTCTACCTGACTGGGTTCCCCATGTTCCGCACCATCCAAGCGTGTGCCCAACCAGTAGGCAGCAGCTTCGTGCTTGGGAGAGTTTGGCTCTGGAGGCCCTGGGAGGCTGGCAGCAGGGGAGGGTGTGGCAGGCAGGAGGAAGGATTCGGAAGAGTGCTTCATCTCTCCTCGCCTCCTGGGGGTCTGCATGGGGGTCTGGGACGGTGAGGAGAAAGCCGTGAGCAGCTCAGAGGTGGTGGGGAAGAGGGACACATTGGGATGAAGGGACACAGTGGGGAGAGGGAAGGGCCTGATGCAGGTCCTCTGTGGGAGGGGCTGCCAGCAGGGACTGAGCTGCACAGGAGAGGGGAGGAGAGAGAGCAAGGGCTTCTGGAAGGGTGTCCAGGGTGTTAGAGAATTCCCCAGAGGGCAGTCTGGCCTGAAGTATAGATCAGAGCCAAGTAGTTAACACCGAGAGGATTTAAAGAGGAGACTCCAAATTGAGGCAAAATAGGAAGGAGACAAAAATGTCTTCCCAGCTTTCTGGAGCCGGCAGTGAAGGACTGGAAGAGCTGCAGAGGGCTGTCTCAGACCATAGACCCGGGGAGTACGTGCATCCGCTGGGATGTCTGGGTCCTGCTGCATCCCTGGACCTGCCTCCTGCCCAACCAGAGGCTTCTCACCCTGCAGTAATGTTACCACCTCCACACTAAAGCCTGCGGGCCATGTGGCTGCTGTTATGCATAATAGCAGTTATATTGCTTCTGCCTCTAATTCAGCACCTACTATGTGCTAGGCATAGCACTGAGCACTGCACAGTGATGGATACCTTTTCCAAACAGGCAGAGTGGAGTCCTGACATTCTGAAATGTTTGCAAATCTCCGCAGTCCTGGGTGACATGCCACCCTCACTCTTCCATCTATATCACACATCTTCGGGTATTTGCTCAGGGTCAAAGTTTATGAAACACTGTAAAGCTCCTGATACTTACAGAAGGACTTAGACAATTATGGAGTGCCCCGTGCAGAGTCAAAACATTACTCTCTTTTGTCTTGCCAGCATTTCACACTGTGCCCCTTATATAGTAGATGCTCAAGGAGTGTCCCCTAACTGATCATCAAGAATCATTCCTGAGTGATTGGTTCTTTCTCATGTTCTTCTTCACCTCTCTGGTTGGTTTCTGGCACATCCCCCCACTTCATGACCGCTCTGAGTCTTGCCTGATGCTGAAGTCACAGCTGTTGGGACACAGCAAATAACACACACTCTTTCTGCCCACTGTGGCTGCTGAGACTGGAGCGTTGAGCCCCAAACCCATGCCTGCCCCCAGTTTGCCTCTGAGGCTGGCTGGGCCGAGGTGGGAGTCCTGTGGTGGGTGTGTTCTTCCTTGTGGCAGCCTTGGGCCCTGGGCGGCATCCAAAGGGCTTGGGACACATAATCGTGGGCAGAAAACCCACCTCCTTCCCTTCCTACTCTAACCTCGCCAGCATCCTCCCAGGATCCTCCCTGTCCCAAAATAGCCGCGTGCTGGCCAAAGTCTGGCTGTATCCTGCTTCTGAGCTGCATGTACTGTTCACTGGGGAGCAATGGGCTTGCAGGCCCGGGACGGGGTGCCAAAGGTTGGGCCTTGTTAGGAGGGTCACGGTGGCCAGAAGTTCAGAGGAATAGGTGTGGGCAGTTTGTAAAGCATATGGCCTGGCGGGACAGGACAAGGGCTCTGGGAAAAGATACACAGACCGTGGGACTTCCTGGGCCACTTGAAAAGAACACAAAGATCAGGGAAACTCTCCCATTCTCTTTCCCTGTTCTTACTAACAAATGAGGAGCAGGACAATATAGTCTCCAGTCAGCAAGGAAGCAGCTACTTCAGCCCCGCCACACCGGGGCTGGGTGGGTCGGGCAGGGTGAGGGGTGACCCACGGTTGTGCACATGGAGGGAGCCGGGACCAGCGGAGCTGCTGGGGCAGATTACTTCACACTCTGGGCTTCACCTCCAAGGCAGAGAGTAGGTCAGGGTCACAGGAGGACCACCAGGCCAGGAGGCTGGAGTACAGTAGTGGGGCGAGGGCCAAGGTGGCCCAGTCTGTGCACTAGTACCGTCATCAGCTCTGGCATAGAGGATGGAGAAGGGGAGAGAAGTGGCCTCCAGCCAGGCTAGTGGGAGGGGCCATGGCCACCCCCTGGCTGCGGGTTGCAAATGCGAGGTGCATATGAAGTGCCAGGGATTCCAGAGGAGCTCGGGACTCTGGGAAACTTCACTGAGGAGGTGACACTGGAGGCTGGTGGTCAGGAATGAGGAAGCAGGCAGGGGCATAGAGTCAGGGCACAGACACAGCTGCCATCCTAACAACAGGCCCCAAATACAGGGATCCCAATAAGGTCAGCGGGCGGTCTCTTCTTAGGCTGCAGATGGTCCGGGGACAGGAGGGTGGCTCTACCATCGTCATCCAGTGGCTTCTATCTCTGGGCTCCTGTCAGCTCCTTCACTTGCACCATCCCCTGGCCAGCATGAAAACGAGAAGGGGCCCAGGAAAGTACATCCTTGAACCCTTAAGAGCAAAACTGGAAGAAAAACAACCCGACATGCATCACTTCTCATATCCCATTGGCCAGCACTTAGTCACATGGTTACCGCCCAGGTTTAAGGGTGGACAGGCAGTGTTTTTGGTTGGGTGGTCCTATGCCCAGATGCAACTTTATTACTGTGTGAAATGGGAGAGCAGGGGCCAGGGAGCGGTCTGCACAGGGGGTGTTCCAGGCTGGGCGCCTGCACGGACTAAGGCTCCAAGAGTGAGAAAAGGTCTACTGGGAATGGCAGGCTGCTGGAGGGAGCTGGAGCGCAGAAGCGGTGATGGGGAATAAAAGTGGGAAAGGACCACGAAGGGCCAGGCCAAGAAGTTCCAGCTCAGCAATCTGCATAAGCAAAGGGTTTTCACCCTGAGAATGAATGATTGGGAATGGCAGCCTGATGGGCTGTACTGAGTTCGGTTGTGAGACTGCATCCCTGGGCAGCAAAAGATGTGGCGACCTCGCAGTGCTGCTGCAGCGGACGCCTCGTGGTGGGCCGCCGTGCCTGTGCCCACAGGAGATGATGTTGCACCAGAGAAGGTTCGTGGAGCAGGGATGGGACCTGATCCAATTACTATTCTAGAGCCATAATTAGCAGTGTTGTGGACAATGGCTTAGAGAGGGGAAAAACCCTTCCAGCCACAAAAGTCTGAGATTCTATGAACATGCTCTATTTTCTCATGTTTTTCTATTTATGTTCACTTTGGAACTGCCTCTTGGGACTTGGTTATTTTCCACAGGTGGTGAGTGCTGGTGTTCACACATCCTGAAGTCCTTCCTTTGTCTGGCCTTGCCCTGTTTGCCCTGGCATCAGCTTCTGCCACGACAGCCTCACTGTGTTTCCATGGGCAGGGCCCAGGGCCAGAGCCCCTGTCACCTCCCCCAGGCTGCGGCAGACCGGTCCCACAGCCCCGCCCCCTTTCTTTGTGGTTCTCCTTGTTTCAGACTCAGC